ATCCGTGAAACCCAACCTTCCCATAATGTATTCATGACGTTTCGTGCACTGTATTCTGGGACTTGGAGGGAACTTTTAAAAGTCTATGTCGCCCCATTCTCGGGGTTCAATGCCATTTTTGAACCTGTTGCGCAATAAACTCGGATCTTCGTATTTTGCTCCTGTGTCCGGCTGAGCTCCTTTCTCCTCCGCTAGGACCCGCGGACTTTGTCCGACGAGCTGGGTGGCTGTGCACTCACGCACTCAGATTTGCCGTCACAAGTAGCTGGCTAAGAATGCAGGAGAGGGATTTAACGGGAGGGAAGAAAGAAAGGCAAAAGTTTCTCCCCGCCCAAGCCAGCCATCTCTCTCTCTCTCTCTCTCTCTCTCTCCCTCTCTCTCCCTCCCCCCCTCTCTCTCCCTCTCCCCCAGCAGCACCGGAGCACAGAGAGGAATTCGAAGGAAGACACTCTGCTTTCCCCTCTGCTTGCCTGGAGGGTAGGGGCTTTCCCTGCTCTTTGTTCCGTTTGAGCAAACACAGCAACGAAACAGAGAGGGTGGGCAGTAAGACCCTGAGGCAGAATGCAGGAAAGCAGCCGCTTCCTCTTTTCAGGTTTCCCTTCTCCGTGAAGCGCGATTTGATTTTTGCCTGATTTTTCGGCTCCAGGGACCACACATTCGCTCAATAACATGCACAGACATTTCCCCTTCCTTTTTAGGAGAAAAAATCTGCGTGTTATAGAGGGGAAAATACGGTATCTTGGCTAAAAGACTAAAAAGAGTGTTAGTGGAAGAGATACATAAAGACCAAGCAGGCTTTCTCCCAGGAAGACATTTATCTGACAATGTGAGAAATATAATTAACATTTTAGAGAAACTACAAGTGAATATAAACACTAAGGCAGTTTTAATATTTGTGGATGCGGAGAAAGCTTTTGACAACATTTCTTGGACTTTTATGAAAAAGAACTTACAGGGTATGGGGGTAGGCCAAGGTTTTGAAAACGGTATAAGTGCAATATATTCAGAGCAAAAGGCTAGATTAATTGTAAATAATGTGGTGACGGAAGAATTTAAGATAGAAAAATCTCCCCATTGCTTTTTATATCGGTTCTGGAGGTTTTGCTGAATATGATTAGAAGGGACCAGTTGGTTAAAGGTATACAGGTCGGAGCCAAACAGTACAAATTGAGAGCATTTGCAGATGATTTAGTATTGATGTTACAGGAGCCAGAATCTAGTACTAAAAGGGTCTTAGAACTGATTCAAGAATTTGGTCAGGTTGCAGGGTTTAAACTGAATAAGTAAAAAACCAAGGTTTTAGAGAAAAATTTAACACCAATAGAGAGAGAGAGGTTTCAGAATATGACAGGTTTAACAGTGGTTAAGAAAGTCAAATACTTGGGGATCAACATGACAGCAAAAAAATGGGAATTTATTTAAAGACAACTATGAAAAATGCTGGGTTGAAGTGAAAAAAGATTTAGAAATATGGTCAAATTTGAAGCTTTCACTGCTGGGTCATATCGCTGCTATAAAAATGAATGTATTGCCTAGAATGTTGTTTCTGTTTCAGGCATTGCAAATTGTGGACAAAATGGATTGTTTCAAGAAGTGGCAGAGAGATATTTCAAGATTTGTCTGGCAGGGCAAGAAGCCTAGAATAAAATTTAAAATATTAACAGATGCAAAGGAAAGAGGTGGATTTGCCCTGCCAGACTTTTAACTTTACTATGAATCAGCAGCTTTTTGCTGGTTGAAAGAATGGCTACTTCTTGAAAACACAGACATTTTTTATTTGGAAGGTTTTAACAATGTATTTGGATGGCATGCATATTTGTGGTATGATAAGGTCAAAGCGCATAAAGCATTTAAAAATCATATTGTTAGGAAAGCATTATTTAATGTTTGGATAAGATATAAGGATTTATTGGAAAATAAAACCCCAAGGTGGCTGTCACCGATGGAAGCAAAAGCTCAGAAAAACCTCAATATGGAGGTTAAATGGCCAAAATATTGTGAAATTCTGGAACAAGATGGAGATAGACTAAAACTGCAGAGTTTTGAGAAACTAAAGAACAAAGTGCGACTGGCTTCATTATTATTAGATAATGGAGGCATATAATTTGGACAAGAAAATTGGCTTCCAGGTGGAAAAAATCAAAATTAGAGACAGAATTGCTAGAACCCAAAACTAAGATTTTGTCAAGGATGTATAGCTTGCTGTTGAAATGGAATACTCAGGATAAAACGGTGAAATCTGTTATGATTAAATGGGCACAAGATGTTGGACACAATATTATGTTTGCTGACTGGGAACAGTTATGGACCACAGGTATGAAGTTTACGGCATGTAATGCCTTAAGAGAGAATATTATGAAAATGGTATACAGGTGGTACATGACCCCAGTCAAGCTTGCAAAAATCTATCACTTGCCCGATAATAAGTGTTGGAAATGTAAAGAAACTGAAGGTACATTCTTTCATCTTTCTTTCTCCTCATCCCCATCTTCTCTCAACCTTCCCTCTCCCCCATCTCAAATCCCCTCAGAAACGGCTCTTTATTTTCCCTCCAAAAGTGACTTCCGGGGTGGCGCCATCGGCAATGGCGGATTCCCTCTAACTTGGAGGGGACCAGCTCTGCAGAAATCGGGTCTGCACCGCTGGCACCACCCCCCTCTGGGTAGCCAATCAGAAAGAGGCTCTGGCCCTCTGGTGGAATGGTGAGGCACTGCACCCCCAGACTCTGCTCTGGCTCTGCTGTCCGTCACAGCAGCCAGCTGCCCCAGCAGGCCTTGCAATCTCCCCACCGCTTGAGCCGTCCTCCATTGTCTCCCAAGACAGACGGATGAGGAGAGAGCCATTCAGGGGCCACAGGAAAGGGGCATCGGGGGCCGACAGAGGCAAACTGGAGCGGGGCAGCATCGCTGAAAGGATGCCTACCTCTCTCTTATTCTAAAAGATCACGCCACATATTTCCACGAGTGCTGGGTAGATTCCGGCAACAGTCTTCACAATTTATGTATTCAATAAACATTGGTCACGTGTTATAAAAGGAATACGGATTGTGTTCCCCCACCTTTTGGATACTTAAATTGTGATGCCCAGAACTGAACACAGTATTCTGGGTGGGGTCTGACCAAGGCAGAATAAAGTGGTACTATTCCTGCCCTTGATCTGATTCTGCCTTCTGCCACGTTGGCCTGTGCTCCCTGTTTGGTGTCGTCCCCAAATGTGATGAGCATCCTCTCAGTTCCTTCATCCAACTCATTCATAAAGACGATGAATGACAACGCGCCCAGGACTGAACCCTGCAGCACCCCTCTTGTCACTTTCCCCCAGGATGATGAGGAACCATGAAGGAGTCCTCTTTGGGTTTGGTCTGTCAAATCCACCAAACAGTTACCTTGTTCAGCCAAAATTTTACCAGCTTTCTCACAGAAAGATCATGGGGGACTTTCTCAAAAGCCTTACTGAAATCAAGATGCACTATTTCCACAGCTGTTCCCTGATCAACAAAGTTTGTAACTCCATCCAAAAAAAGGGGAAGAGAGATTTCTCTGGCTTTTCTTGTTTTTGAGAAAGCCATGCTTTCATCCTGTATGTTTCTGTTGTGAAATCTTCAGATGGAGGGCACATAAATATTAAAAATGATAATAAATAAGGATATTGACAAGCTGAAACATGTGCAAAGGCAATTTATGTAATTATTTAATTTGTATACTACCCAACCCAGTGGTGCCAACTTGAATAAAACATTGGTGGGCGGCCAGGTAAGGCCTGCCTTGCACAATCACATGACGCATGCAGGTCATTGGAATGGCAATGCCTATCAACTGGGGGGGGTGGCCCCCTCAAATATATCATTGGGGGGCAAAATCCCCTCAGCCTCTAAAAGTCGACTCCTGTTCCCACAGGTCTAAGGATGGTTACAACATAAAAAAACAACATAAAAACACAAAATATACATCTGTAACCCCCCTCACTACCACATTTTAAAAGGGCATTAGATGTCAATCAGCAAAAGGCCTGGTTGACAAGGTACGGATTTGCCTGGCTCCTAAAGCTGTATAATGGTTGTTCCAACCGTTGCATGAATTGTCTGATGGGAAGTGAGATAGGAGCCCTTAGTGAAGCTCTTTCCACATTCCACACACTGATAGGGTTTCTCCCCTGTATGAATTCTTTGATGGGAAGTGAGATAGGAGCTCATACTGAAGCTCTTTCCACATTCCATGCACTGATATGGTTTCTCCCCAGTATGAATTCTCTGATGGGAAGTGAGAGAGGAGCTCTGACTGAAACTCTTTCCACATTCCATGCACTGATATGGTTTCTCCCCTGTATGAATTCTCCGATGGGAAGTGAGATAGGAGCTCTGACTGAAACTCTTTCCACATTCCATGCACTGATATGGTTTCTCCTCTGTATGAATTCTCCGATGGGAAGTGAGATTGTAGCTCATACTAAAGCTCTTTCCACATTCCACACACTGATAGGGTTTCTCTCCTGAATGAATTCTCTGATGGGAAGTGAGAGAGGAGCTCTGACTGAAACTCTTTCCACATTCCACACACTGATAGGGTTTCTCCCCGGTATGAATTTTCTGATGGGAAGTTAGTTGGCTTCTCTGACTAAAGGTCTTTCCACATTCCAAGCACTGATAGGGTTTCTCCCCTGTATGAATTCTGTGATGGGAAGTGAGAGATGCACTATGACTGAAGCTCTTTCCACATTCCACACACTGATAGGGTTTCTCTCCTGAATGAATTCTCTGATGGGAAGTGAGAGAGGAGTTCTGACTGAAACTCTTTCCACATTCCACACACTGATAGGGTTTCTCTCCCGTATGAATTCTTCGATGGGAAGTGAGAGAGTCGTTCCGACTGAAGGTCTTTCCACATTCCATGCACTGATAGAGTTTCTCTCCTGTATGAATTCTCTGATGCTTAGTGAGATCAGAGCTCTGACTAAAGCTCTTTCCACATTCCACGCACTTATAGGGTTTCTTTCCAATGTGATTTCTTTGATGGGATGTAGAATGGGAGCTCTGACTGCAGCTCTCTCCACATTCCATATTTTTGCATGGCTTCTCCTCTCCGGGGGTTTTGTCATGTTCATCCTTGTTCTTGTTTTCCAATTTATCAAAATCTGCAATGGAGACAAAAAAGGGATTAGAGCCTCAGGAACAAATCAAGAAGAACTGAAGGGAGTTGGGTCTTTGTTCATTGCCTTTGTTGGTTGTCATTAACCAACATTTTTATTCATATATCCTAATGGATTGTTGAATGTTGATTTGTTTGATATACAGTAGTGGCCAAAATTGTGGAAGCCTTTTGGGAAAAAAGTATATTTCAGATGTTTGATGCTTCGTAACACGACTTCGTTTAGAGTAATACCACAAAATTATGTATCAATGGAAAGATAATTTAATGAAGAATGTAATTATCTGTATTCTATCAAAAGTCATAGCGGAATAACCAGAAAAAGGAAGCACAACTTGCTTAGCTTGACTTTTGTCAGTGTGTTATGTTATACTGTGGAAAGTTGATATAAAATTTACAGATTGTATATTATTAAGAGAGAATTACATGAAAATGATGTATAGATGGTATATCACACCAGTGAAAATGGCAAAGATGTTTAAGAAAGAAAATAAGAGATGCTGGAGATGTCAAGAAAAGGAAGGAACATTTTATCATATGTGGTGGGAATGCAAATGCATTAAAAATATTGGGAAATGATATATAATGAACTGAAAAAAATGTTTAAAATGAGCTTTGGTAAACATCCTGAAGCCTTTCTGTTAGGTATCTCAAATCAAGAGCTGCCAAAAGAAAAATGGACATTATTTATGTATGCTACAACAGCGGCAAATATCTTGACTACAAAATTGGAAGATGGAAGAAATACCATCAAAAGAACAATGGTAAGAAAAACTGATGAATTATGCAGAATTGGCTAAGCTAACAGAGAAAGTACGAGAGAAGGACAAAAAGGATTTTAAAAGAGTTTGGGAACCATTTACAGGTTATTTGCAGAAAAAACAACTGGCAGGGTCTGAATAAACGTTCACAACTTTATTATAGTAACAGAAATTTTAGCAAAATGATAAGGGAATTTACTTTTACATAAAGCAGGACACAATAAATAAAACTAAATAACTCAGTAGAAGGGGAGTTGAGGGAAGTCCGGAGAACGGAAGGGAGAACATTTGTATATAACATGATGATTGAGATATTTTTATTTGTTATAAAATTCAATAAATATTCATTTTTAAAAAAGAAGATTGAGGAAAACTTAACCAAAGCTGGCCTTTCTATATTTGTGAAGAGGTATAAGGAGACTTCCGGGTTGGCGCCATTGGTAATGGCGGACTCCCTCTGACTTGGAGGGACCAGCTCGGCGGGAATCAGGTCAGTACCGCTACGGCGAAGCAGGGACCCTCTAAAAATCACAGGCGGGTGAAGCCTGTGAGCGTGGGACTCGGCGGGCACCCTTTGCGCCCCCCCAACTCGTAAGGAAACCCGATTGTGGGCTCCGGAGCGAAGCGGGGCGAGTGGTGCGGTGCTGTGAGTCAACTACTTCTTCCGCGGAGCGAAGCCGCACAGCTGTTACCGGAGAGCGCTGACTTTTTCCTGTGACAATTCGACTACAAAAGCAACTATCCGTGAGTAGGATAAATTGAAAAATTGAAGCAAAAAAAAAAAAAGGTTTAATTCGGCAACGAGCGGGGAGGCATAAACAGGAAGTTCGCCTTCCGTTTCTTGTAAATAGACTAAAGCAAAGAAGCTGCAAGCTAAAGCCTTGGTTTTTTACTTATTCAGTTTAAACCCTGCAACCTGACCAAATTCTTGAATCAGTTCTAAGACCCTTTTAGTACTAGATTCTGGCTCCTGTAATGTCAATACTAAATCATCTGCAAATGCTCTCAATTTGTACTGTTTGGCTCCGACCTGTATACCTTTAACCAACTGGTCCCTTCTAATCATATTCAGCAAAACCTCCAGAACCGATATAAAAAGCAATGGGGAGATTGGGCAACCTTGTCGTGTCCCTTTTTCTATCTTAAATTCTTCCATCATCACATTATTTACAATTAATCTAGCCTTTTGCTCTGAATATATTGCACTTATACCGTTTTCAAAACCTTGGCCTACCCCCATACCCTGTAAGTTCTTTTTCATAAAAGTCCAAGAAATGTTGTCAAAAGAAATGTTGTCAATTTGGATTTAGTTGACATTTGGAGAACAAAGAACCCCTTGGGTAGAGAGGGAACTTTTTTTCTCTGAAGCCAAAATGACATGGACAAGAATTGACAAATTTGGGTAACTAGAGGACTGGCTCCAAAGACAAGAAAAGTGAAAATTTGTTGACGGAAATGACTGGCAGATTCCGAGAACAGGGAGAAGAGTCGGTGGAAGAAGACTGGAAGAAATTTAAAGACTATTTACAGAAATATTGCAAAATTAATGAATGTTAGAATGATGTTGGATTGAAATTAAGTGGTTTCTAGCTGTAATGGTATAAAAGAATATGAAAAAAATGGTTTTTTAATAGGCAAAAATTTAATGCTATAATAATAGATTAAGATTAAAGATCAGGATAAAATAAGGAGGGAAAGGAATTGCTGAACTAATAAATTGAACTGGAATACAAAAAAGGGAGGTATGAGGAGGTCCGGGAAACAAGTAAATGAAAGATAAGTGATGAAAAGATTGAATTGTTTTTAACTATTTTTATTTTGTATTTTGTATTTTTTCTTTTTCATTTTGTAATATTGTAAAAACCTTAATAAATATTTATAAAAATAAAAAAAGAAAAGTGGAAATTTGCCCTAAAACTTGCTCCGACCATAATGCTGTAAAGATGGAGATGAAACTAACACCAATTGGCTCTTTCAGATGGAGGATGAATGACACCTTGTTTAGGGACGAAGAGGTGATTAAGAAGGCCCAAAAAACCTTGAGAGACTATTTGAGATAAATATGAATACTACTGTTGAAAAAAGAGTAATCTGGGATGCAAGTAAAGCGGTCATGAGAGGGTTCCTGATACAACAGAATGCAATAAAGAAGAGAACTCAAAACGAGAAGAAAGACAAAATTTTGGAGAAAATAAAGGAAGGTGAGAAGAAACTGAGAGCAAAACCAAAGTCGCAAGAGATTTTGAGAGAAATAAAGTTATATCAAGTACAATATATGAAAATGATGAACCAGGAAATAGAATGGAAAATTAAACAGATGAGACAAAAGACATTTGAGTCGGCTAATAAATGTGGGAAATTGCTGGCCTGGCAAATGAAAAAAAGACAAAAACTCAACACTATTACAAATTTGGAAGTGGAAGGAAAGAATATACAGAACCCAGTGGAGATTAGAAATTGTTTCCAGAGGTACTTTAAGCAACTATATACACAAGGGCCACAGAAAGAAATTGACATAGATCGATTTTTGAAAATAAATGGACTACAAAAAATCTCTCAAGAAAACAAGCTAATGTTGAATTATAAAATAACTGAACAGGAGGTAGAAGGTGCCATCCGGAATATGCAATTGGGTAAATCTCCAGGGCCGGACAGCTTAACTTCAAGATACTATAGATCTTTGAAAAGTTGGATAATACAACCACTAAAAGAAGTTTGCAATGAAATTTTGGAAGGGAAAAAAGCACCAGAGTCGTGGAAGGAAGCTTACATTACACTTATACCGAAAACTGAGTCTGAGAAGACACAGCTTAAGAATTGCTGCCCCATATCTCTGCTTAATGTGGATTATAAAATTTTCGCAGATATTTTGGCTAAAAGATTAAAAAAAGTACCAGTGGAAGAGATACATAAAGATCAAGCAGGCTTTCTCCCGGGCAGACACTTGTCTGATAATACGAGAAACAGAATTAACATTTTAGAGAAATTACAAGTGAATATTAACACCAAGGCTGTTTTGATATTTGTGGACGCGGAGAAAGCATTTGACAATATTTCCTGGAGTTTTATGAAGAACCTACAGGGGATGGGGGTTGGTCAAGGTTTTGGAAATGGTATAAGTGCAATATACTCTGAACAAAAGGCTAAACTAATTGTTAATAATGTGGTGACAGAGGAATTTAAGATAGAGAAAGGGACACGACAAGGTTGCCCAATTTCCCCATTGCTTTTTATATCGGTCCTGGAGGTCCTGTTAAATATGATTAGAAGGGACCAATTGGTTAAGGGTATACAAGTCGGAGCCAAACAGTACAAATTGAAAGCATTTGCGGATGACTTAGTATTGACATTACAGGAGCCAGAATCTAGTACTAAAAGAGTATTGGAACTGATTCAAGAATTTGGTCAGGCCGCAAGATTTAAGTTGAATAAGTTAAAAACCAAGGTTTTAGAGAAAAATCTAACAGTGATTGAGAGAGAGAGGTTTCAGAGGGAGACAGGTTTAACTTTGGTTAAGAAAGTGAAATACCTGGGGGTTAATATGACTGCTAAGAATGTGAATTTATTTAAAGATAACTATGAACAATGCTGGACGGAAGTGAAAAAAGATTTACAAATTTGAAGCTTTCATTGCTAGGCCGTATTGCTGCGATAAAAATGAATGTATTGCCAAGAATGTTGTTTTTGTTTCAAACTTTGCAAATTTTGGATAAAATGGACTGTTTCAAGAAGTGGCAGAGAGATATTTCTAGATTTGTCTGGCAGGGCAAGAAGCCCAGAATAAAATTTAAAATACTAACGGATGCAAAAGAAAGAGGTAGATTTGCCCTGCCAGACCTTGAACTTTATTATGAATCAGCCACATTTTGCTGGCTGAGAGAATGGCTGCTTCTTGAAAACACAGACATTTTGGATTTAGAAGGTTTTAATAATGTATTTAATAATGCATGCATATTTGTGGTATGATAAGGTCAAAGCACATAAAGCATTTAAAAATCATATTGTCAGGAAAGCACTGTTTAATGTCTGGACAAGATATAAGGACCTACTTGAAAATAAAACCCCAAGGTGGTTGTCACCGATGGAAGCGAAGGCTCAGAAAAACCTCAATATGGAGGCCAAATGGCCGAAATATTGGGAAATTCTGGAACAAGAGGGAGATAAATTGAAATTGCAGCGCTTTGAAAAACTAAAAAATAAAGTGCGAGATTGGCTTCATTATTATCAAATAATGGAGGCATACAATTTGGACAAGAAAATTGGCTTCCAGGTGGAAAAATCAAAATTGGAAACAGAACTGTTAGATCCTAAAACTAAGACTTTGTCAAGGATGTATAACTTGCTGTTGAAATGGAATACTCAGGATGAAACGGTGAAATCTGCTATGATTAAATGGGCACAAGATGTTGGACATAACATTATGATAGCTGACTGGGAACAGTTATGGACCACCGGTATGAAGTTTACGGCATGCAATGCCTTAAGAGAGAATATTATGAAAACGATATACAGGTGGTACATGACACCAATCAAGCTTGCAAAAATTTATCATTTGCCCGATAATAAATGTTGGAAATGTAAAGAAACTGAAGGTACATTCTTTCACCTTTGGTGGACGTGCCCAAGGATCAAGGCTTTCTGGGAGATGATCTATAATGAAATGAAAAAGGTATTTAGGTATACCTTCCTGAAGAAACCAGAGGCCTTCCTCCTGGGCATGGTCGGCCAATTGGTGCTAAAGAAGGATAGAACTTTCTTTATGTATGCAACAACAGCAGCAAGAATACTTATTGCAAAGTATTGGAAGACACAAGATCTACCCACCCTGGAAGAATGGCAGATGAAGGTGATGGACTATATGGAATTGGCGGAAATGACTGGCAGAATCCGAGACCAGGGAGAAGAGTCGGTGGAAGAAGATTGGAAGAAATTTAAAGACTATCTACAGAAATATTGTAAAATTAATGAATGTTAGAATGATGTTGGATAAGAAGTTAAGTGGTTTTAGCAGCAATGTTACAAAGGAGTATGCAAAAATGGATTGCTAACATGTGAGAATCTAAAGTTATAATACATTAAGATAATGGATTAAGATAAAAATAAAGAGGGAAAGGATTTGCTGATTTAACTAACTGAACTGGAATACAAAAAAGGGAGGTGTGAGGAGGTCAGGGAAACAAGTAAATGAAAGACAAGATATGGAAAGATTGATTTGTTTTTAATTGTTTTATTTTTCTGTATCCTGTATTTTCTTTGTTTCTTTTTTTTACTCATTTTCTTATTATTGTAAATTTTTTTTGAAACTTAAAAAAAAAAGGAGACTCCCATGGACTGCAAGATCAAACCTATGCATTCCGAAGGAAATCAGCCCTGAGTGCTCACTGGAAGGACAGATCCTGAAGCTGAGGCTCCAATACTTTGGCCACCTCCTGAGAAGAGAAGACTCCCTGGAAAAGACCCTGATGTTGGAAAAGATGGTAAAGGCAGGTAAAGGTGCACAACAGCAAGTGATGATCGAAGAATGGAGAGTCTGTGCCTGCAAGACAGAAGAAAATCATCTGGGTGTTTACAAGATGACATGGGGCAATGGAAGGTGAAGCTGAGTGCAAGGACTGATCTAAATGCTAGAATTCCAAGGGAAAAGCCATTATCTCTCAAGCCAAGGTGGAAAAGATTAAACTGGGCTAAAACCCATGGTAACTGGACAGCGGAAGAATGGGACAGTGTTATTTGGAGTGATGAGACCCAAATCTCCTTGCTTGGTAGTGAGGGCATGAAATACGCGAGGAGGAGAATCGGAGAAGATTTACATCCTACTTGCATTACACCGACCGTGAAACACTCAGTTAGCGTTATGATCTGGGGTTGTATGACAGCAAAAGGCAGAATTTGTGTCATTAATGGGAACGTCAATGCCCCCAAATACATAAATCAAATACTTTAAACAGGACAGGAAAATAGCTTTCCAGATGGAGAGGTCGAAAATAGAGACAGAATTGTTAGAACCCAGTACTAAGAACTTGTCGAGAATGTACAATTTGCTGCTGAAGTGGAATACACAAGATGAAACAGTAAAATCAGCTATGATCAAATGGGCACAAGACATAGGTCATGACATAATGTTTGATGATTGGGAACAGTTGTGGAATACAGGTATTAAGTTTACAGCTTGTAATGCATTGGAGAGAGAATATAATGAAAATGATCTATAGGTGGTCACATGACCCCAGTCAAACTCGCAAAATCTATCATTTGCCCAGCAACAAATGTTGGAAATGTAATGGAGAGCTGAAGGTACTTTCTATCACCTTTGGTTGGACCTGCCCGAAGGTAAAGGCCTACTGGGAAATGATCTATAATGAAATTTAAAAAGTCCTTTAAATGGACATTTTTTGAAAAAACCAGAGGCCTTTCTCCTGGGCATGGTGGGCCAATTGGTGCCAAGGAAGGACAGAACATTTTTTATGTATGCTCGCTACTACAGCGGCCAAGAATTCTTCTGGCAAAGTACTGGAAGACGCAACAGCTACCCACTCTGGAAGAATGGCAAGCGAAGGTGATCGAGTACATGGGAATGGCAAAGATGACTGGCAGAATCCGTGACCAGGGGAGTGAGACGGTGGAGAAGATTGGAAGAAATTTAAAAAATATCTTAAAGACTGTTGTAAGATTGACGATGGCTGAGATGTTATGGTTATAAGAAATAGAGAATTGCAGCTGTAAATCATAACTTTAAAGAATGTAAAATGAAAATGAGCGAAATTAATTGAACTAAGGGTTGCTGAGAAAGGGCCAACATAAGGATGCAGAAAAAGGGAGGTATGAGGAAGTCCACGAAATAAGGTGTATGAAAATAAGTTTAAGAAATTATATGTGTTTATTTGTTTGTATGTTTTGTATTGTTTTGTTTTATTATTTGTTTTATATATGTTGGAAAATTAATAAAAATTATTAATAAAAAAAAAAGAAGCCTACTTATCTTTCCTAACAACTCTGAAGCTGACATTTAAGATGCCTGGGCAGTTCAGACGCAGCCGAATCATGGTATAAAAGGCAGAACTGGAGGAAGATTTTTGACAGAAAAAACTGGAATTTGCTGTTCAAGGTTTATTGTGGGAGTGTTAGGTTCCCAGGTGTTGTAGGGACGCTGCTGAGCTCTGTG